GGTCAGTCCCTATCTAATACACTGTTAAAAAGAGCATGAATTAGCTACTGTTAAAATAAAAGACCTTCCCTGTCTTCTTCAGGTTTAAGGTGTCTTATGACCCAATTTAGAAAAGTATCTGTTGTCTCTGAGACTACAAACTTCCAGAAGCTATACCAGCTGGCTGAATGGCACACTTAACAGCTGCCCAAGGAAAGAAGAGGGGAAGGATATTTAACACAGACAGCTGAGGAATAGTTATTATAAATAAACTTCTCAATTCCTGCAAGAAGTTAAAGTAAAAGATCGTCTCTGTCTTCTTCAGGTTTAAGTCATTCCATGGCCCAATCCAGAAAGGTGCCTCTGAGGCTATTTTATCTTTTGAAGTATCCTTCCTTGCATTATCACAAGACAGAAGACTGGTTCCACAGACTGGGAACCTTAAAGTATAGCACAATGGCACTTCTTATTGTAAGAGAACTTTTTTCTCACTTTATTGTTGCTGCTGTGAGTTGGTTTTTCCCTACCTCCTACATAACTGGAGAAATGATCATGTTTGATGTGGAGGAAATAAATATCTGGGTAAGCCAGAGTCTACCCACAGGTGGACACGCAGGCAAATTGAGCTAACCTGCCAGTTTCCACAGTACAAATCCACACTTAACTCATATCCATAGGTTATAGGGCTTCTGGAAATGAGTTGCAGGATGCTTAGCATCTCACTGATTCAGTTGTGTTTTGTGGTATACTGTAATAGTACTTTTCTGTCTTTCCCAAGCTCCCCATGGGGATGAGCTCTTAGCCTTCTAACACATCAGTATAATGCACTTCTGGTTCAGAACACACCTCCATTTCTTGTCTGCTCCACCTGCTGCCAAACCGTGGGTCCAGCCCTGGGCTGTGAACTGTTCCTGCTTCTCAAAGCATTGTGATTGAAGCAAGGTGCAAGTAGCAGGTACAGGACACTAACGGCAGGGTCTAATCATGAAAAGGCAGAGTGAGGAGATCATGCAAGCTAATGTGACAAAGTGGAGGCAGACAATACTGAGAATTCCCTATATGCAAGGCACTGCTTCTGATGAAAACCAGAGCACAAAGCAATGGAAGAACATCATTACGCCAACCAGCAACAACTCTAGAACTTCCACAGGACCAAAGCCACTGTCATGGGGTTTGCATGAAGGAGCCTGACCTGCTTTTTGTCAGGCACAACATGCAAAGGAACACCAATACCAATCCAGAGCAGATGTCTCAACTGCCCACTGACTCCATGGGTGCTCTGGAGCTCAAGCACCCACTGAAAAGAATTAGCAGGTGCTCAATAGGCATGAGCTAGGGCTGTGACTGCTTGCAGACATTAAAAAACAAACAAATGAGCCACGCTTTACCAGAAGAAGCAGCACATTACTTCAACCCGGCTCTGCAGCATCTGTAAAGATCAGCTTTCAGCAGGACTGTTTGGCACTTTTAGTTAAAGCTGATTCAATCAGCTATTAGATAAGTGCCAAAAAAGTTCCAATAAAGCACCCAATCTTTACAGTTGCTGGAGATCAGGGTGGAAGTAATGTACTGTCTCTTCTGGCAAGTGTGTGGCTTGGAGCCAGGTTTATTGTAAAGCACCTTTTTTTAGGGGGTTTTTACCTTTGTAAGCACCCACCAGCAAAAACCAAAGTTGCCACCTGTGCAACTGCCAGTACCGTTGTGGTGGTTTGTGAAGTGGTTGTTGGTGTTGTTTACCCAGGAGTGGTAGACATATCTAATGTGTCAAGCCACATGCAAATATTCAGTTTCTACTGGGAAAGTTGCTGCTTTCCCAGTAAAACCCATGAGTATACAGGCATTAAGGATTTTTCTCCCAGTGCAAAAATGACTGGTCCAGGAGAAAAATAACCCAGGAACAACAAAAATTAAATGGCTCTTGAGAGAGCAAACTTCTGTACATATAGCTTCTGAGAGAAGTCACAGCACAGTCCTCCAGCATCCCAGTGTGCTTTGCTCCCAGCTCCCCTTTCCCCACCACAGGTCCAGAGTATTTTTCTCTGGCTGGACTCTATGGGCATTTGTACACATGCTTGCACCACAGCACCGGGTGTTTTTAAAAGCACCTGGTACTGCGGTGCACTTGTTTGTATAAATGGCAAAATGCACGTCAATGCTGAGAAAATGACAGTGGTGTGCTTTTGAACTAAAACACATTGAAGAATCTCCGGTGTCGGAGCAGCCAAATATATGCCCTACCGCTCTAGCCAAACAGGGAGTCCCTTCAACATCCCTTTATTGTGCTGCAGGCAGTCTGGGTCAGCCAACTGGGGCTGCCCTGTGTCATCTGTCATCAGGTACACTGGGGAGTTTACAAACCAGGTTGAGATGTGTGCACAGGGGCCCCCTGGCTGTGCAATGGCTCAGCATTCACATATATTCAGTAAGTTTTTCTACTCAGAAAACAAACTTGGGAAAATTCTTCTAGGTCACTTGAACATGTGTATGCATCCTAAGATAACAGATGGCTTTGAGAGAATGACAATAGATGGCACACACACACTCCTTATTTGCCTGTCACAAGGAGGCCATGAATCTTAGCCACAAAGAATACAAGCAGTCTTGGTTGACCACAGATAGATTTATGTACATCAATGTGGGATGCACAGGCAAAGTGCAGCATATGAGGAGTCTGAAGAAATTTGTTGGACAAGATGTCATATTCTCTCCAAATACCAGGCTTATCAAGGGCACATCAGCAACTGCTGTTATTTTAGACAAACTGTTCTACTGGCCTATCTCATGACAATAAGAAAATAGCATAAGTGTTTAACTTGTTCTCTGAGTGGTTGCAAGTGATGGTAGACTGTCTATTGGCAAAGCCTTTTGACTCATTTGGATACCAGCATGGTAAATACTGTCCATATTACGGTCTTCTGCTGTGTTGTGCAGAGCACACCTCTGAGATCTTTGACTAGGAATGGGTTGATTTCTAGGCCTGATACAGGTATCTAGAATGTGTACCTGTCACTGTCATCACTAGGGCTAGGTTAAGGGAAGCAAGGGAAATAAAACATGGATTATGTCCCAATCCTTGTGAGCTGTAAGGTGTCATACATACAGGAATATGATACTGGGTACTTTTCAGTTTGTATCAATTTGTTTCCTATTGGTTTTATGTGATGAAAAGCTACAGACACAATCTCCCGATTCCTGACTCTCCTTCTTTCCCAGTTTCACACATGTCAATGTGCAACACTAACACACATATTAACTAACACTAAAATACCAAATCCTGTATTAAAAAACCATTACAGACAACCCAGCTATCAGTAAGTAGAGTCTGCAAAAGATACAATCACATGTGCTTTGAATTGAAGTAACACCAAGTTGTGCAATTTCACTGATAAAAGAATTATCTGCTGTCTACCTGTTCTCTTTACACTTATGTTTGCATGAGGTAGAGAAAACAGGGAACACCTGTACTTTCCAAGAGTTAAGAGATTGGCTCATAGCTCATCTAACCCCAGAGATGTTCGGTGCCTGCAGAACATAGCAGCTCAATAGATGTAGCAGAGGTCTTTAACCTGGTAATCATATGAAACCACTCAGTCAATTCCTTCTGCTGCTTTCAGGGTGCAGACGCACAATGTAGTAGGGCATCTGTAAGAGGGCCGTAAGTGCATTCAGATTATGTGGTCAGCTGTCTGAGCTTGAGCACCATATATGCAGCCAGCATTGCTGGAGGCCCCAAGAGTGCATGCTTGCCTTAAACCATCCAATGTCCATTCTGAGATGATTAAAAGCAGTCCAGGCCCTGTGGGACAGCTGCCATCCTGACAGGCAGAAGCTTGGTGTTGGGGATGAAGTTCTTTAGCTGCACTTCTTGTGCAACATATTTCCTGCTCCACTGATGGGTGGTCCATGCTGTGACATGCCACTTGCAGATTTGATGAGCTTATCGGCCTGAGTGGAGACAGGTTCTGAGACTTCAGACAGTATTTGGTTTTGTGGCTTTCAGCTACTAGGCTGGAGTGCAAAGAACGGTCAGGATCTTGGGCTTTGAAGCCTAGGGCCAGGGTAGCAGCTTGTCTCCAGATGTAAGATGGGGAATGTCTGAAAGGACTGGATAATGCTCTACTATTACCAGTAAATAGTAATACCAGGCTTATAAAAAGCCCAAACTCCACACCTGTGCTGAAGAGTATGCAGATTAAAAATGATGTTATTTCAAGCCTAGGCTGTAACCCAGGGGCGGGCAAAATGCGGCCCGCGGGCTGCATGCGGCCCACCAAGCTGCTCTTATCCGGCCTGCGGGGCCCCTAAAAAATTTAGAAAATTAATATTTAGCTGCCCCTGGCTTCCTGTCATGCAGCCCTCAATGGCTTGCCAGAACTCAGTAAGCAGCCCTCCGCCCAAAATAATTGCCCATCCCTGCTGTAACCTATATCCTCAGCTGGAGAGCCACTCTCAAAGCACATATAAATGGTGGGATATTCATGGAGTAAAGTAGGGGTCGTGTTAGAAATTTCTACAAGAACCTAGGTTGAGCCTACACTAAAAACAAGAGCTAGTCAAAATTCAGAATGTGTTTTGCACGTAATTCCTAAAGATTTGGGAAATCTTTCGACTTCAGACCAGGAAAAAATTCCCAGTGGAAAATAATGGGCGGGGGGGGGGCTTGTGAAAATGTTCCATCTGGCCCAGCAGTAGTCCAATAGCTACCAGAAGTTAGGTGGTGGGACTAGTGGGGTATGACCTGCTGCAAAATTCAGGGTCTCTGGGCCCCAGTGGATATAGATGTCAGCATCAGGTAGGAGTGAGAAAGGGCTATGATGATACAGCCCTCACCCTGCTACTACACGACTGCTCCTGGCACTGGCCCCCTGCCACTGGTGTCAGTCCTACACCAGCAGTAGACCTGATGCTGCTGGCCTTCCACTTCTGGTCTGGGAAGAGCCCCTCGGTCAACCTTTTGGACCCAGGACAATTTTGACATTCTTGCTGTAAAACAGGAATAAAACTCCCAAACCCCGAGCTGGTTCAAGAGCCAAGGGTTTCTATTAAGAGATCTGCTGGTACTTTTATTTCAAGACAAAAGAGACTATTTCCGAGAACAAAAAGAAATGAGACAGAATGCTAAATATCTATATTTTCAGAAATTATCAATAGTTTGAGATGTCTCAGTTGGACACTCAAAGGTGGTCAACACACTTCTGAAAATTTTGGCCCCAATAGAAAAGTCAGCCCCAAAACAGACCAACTAAATTATTATTATTCTCAAATATGCAAATATTTAAAGTGCCCACTTGAAATACTTATTGAAAAACAAATTTGTATAAATTTCAAAGAACACCCCATATGAAGGTCTTATGAAATCAGACTAGCTAGTATTAGAATTTTAAATACTATTAAATTAAACTCATTAGGGATAGCTGTGTCCCTTTATGTATTTGTACAGGGTGCCGCATAAGAGAATTGTGATCAACTTACCTAACTGTCATTTTATACTGTATTTTCTTCACGCAACAAACCCCTAAATAAAACACATGCCTTGATTTTAGAAGGGAGAATGTACACAATGTTTTTTCAGAGTCTAGGTCAGCTGTGTGACATACATTAAAACCTAGTAGGAGTGTCCAGAAAGTGGCACCAGGAAATTACTGGTCCCAGCTGCCTCATGCAGACTCTCTCCTGGGAGAACACATTTCCTGGAATCTGCTGTATTTCTGGGAAGACTTAGTCACACAAGGCTGGACTCCAGACCCTTGTAAGGGCAGAAACAAGACTGTTAATTCCTTACTGTAAGTAGTTCTTTATATATGTTCTGATACATAAAGTGTTATTTCTACAGTGCAAGGTTCATCATGATACTACCACCAGCTCACTTGCCGCTTCAGCCACAAGCTACAGAGGTCAGCCAATAGGTGAAAAGGTTAACAGAGGAACCCACCATCATGGCAGCTATGTTGACAACTGCAAGGCATGCATAGTATCTCCACGCTTGCTGCTTTTCCAGCATAGAAAACAGCTTCTTTACTTAAAATATTCACCCGTTTTGTGGAACTGATTTTTTTGGGTGGGGAGGTGCATTTTATATGCGAGGAAATATGGTATTCAAATATTTTACATGCTTTCAAATATGACAAACATTCAAATAATTACTAGGTTAAGGTCTGAACTACTGGATATGTGCTTTACAAAGTTATCTGAAATCTAAAAGATTTTAAATGTTTTTAGCTTCTGAAGTAAATTCTCTCTCACCCTAGACAGTCCAAGTAATTACTATTAAAGATTAACAGAAACTATAGGTAAACTATATGCATCAGGTACTGAGTGTTCAGGAGACAAATGTCAACATATGACAAATGACATAACTTACACAATATATGTTCATGTATTTTCATTTCTTTTGTACTAGTTAGCAGAAAGCCATATAGTGATGGGAAGTATATGCAGATTTTATTCCCTGGGACAAATCCATTCCAAGGCATGCTAGTCAATTATTTCTGTACTTTTAATAATACTGCAAATGAAATAAACTCAGTTCAAGTTTAAAGAATAAGTAACTTATCTAATTTTCTCCATGTAGGGAATGCTTCCCTGAGGAATTCCAGCAATACCAAATGAAATCATTAGTGAAGGGAATAAGGAATAATGCCCAAAAAACCCAAATTACCAGTGACTATTTTTAGTGAGGTCTGGAAGCAGTCTTTAATTGGTCAGAACTTCTGGAGAGGCTCACTGTACTCTAAAACTTTAGATTCATTTAATATAAAGACCAGATAAACAACATATCCTGTTTCCTGTGTATAAAATATAAGAAACACAAACAAGAAGATAGGAGTCCCTTATGGATTTACAGAATTGCATTTTTTAACATTGCTAAATTGATTGTTCTACCTCCAGTGTACTAGTTGCAAGGACTTGCTTTTTTGTTGTGTATTTCCTTCAAAGTTACAACAAATAAAATTAAGACTTACAACAAAATTCATATATGCAATCTGAGTATGTGCAAAAGACATAATTGGAACACATTTTATAACAACATCACACTGGTTGGATTCCAAAACCTTGATTTGAGGTAACTTCATAAGGTATTCAGTAAGATATGCAACAGCGCATTGCATATTTAAGTGCAACACACATTTTCCAAGTATACAGAGTATATGGCAACCATTTTACTATTGCACTTGAAGGTTAAGCATTGATTTAATTTGTTGCGTCATCCCTTTTTAGGGGGATTATCTGAAGCTCTTTGGCTATTCTCTCCCCAAGGGTTTGGCTACTTGCAGCAATTATTCTTCGTGACATCAAATCAAAAGGTCCACCTATAAAATAATTTAACAATTAATTGGTTTGTAATGTTAGAATATACATTTTGACAAAAACAAGTATTAAGAATATTTTTTTTAAAAAAGAGCAACTTATAGCCTGGCAGAGTGGGTGTGTGCATGTATGTATGTATATGTAGCCATTGATATAGGTATCTAGAAATCTACAGCATATCAAAAAAGTTCTTTTAAATCCTAATTCTCAAGGGTAACAATGTAAAAGAAAAATCCTGTGGCTAGAAAGAAACAGAGCTCTAATTTGAGTTGCTTTACATTCAGCATCACCCAACAACAGAAACCTTGTACAGGAAAGACTGCATAAGAGAAGCTACAGGCATTTAATAAGTTACATTAGAAAACAACATCTATCTATGTTTGGAATAACAGAAGATGGATTTGGTGACAAATTATTAACATAAATGTAAAAACACAACCACCTTATTCCTATACCATCTTTAGGACAAGTCTTTAGTCCAATACAAATCCTGAGAACAGGCAAGCAGGATGCAGAAGAAAATTGGGTTTGGGTGAGGGGTGCCTTCCAGTGAGTTGGCAAAGAGCTATTTCACTGAGGCTGCTTCCCCTAATTTGGCCCTACTCTGGAGACAAGACTAGCAGAACTCATCCCCGAGATCCACACTACGTACGGAATAGTTGATTGCATGACAATGCAAGTGGAGGTCTATTAAATCTTACTAAACCATCCTCCATTTTCTTTGGAATTTCCTATTATCATCATTAACCCAATTACAAAAGTGACTTACAATCTATGGCAGTCAAATAAACAACCTATTTCACTTTGGCATCATTGAAGAATTGTTGTTACTGTTATGGCACAAATGCAGCCTAAATATTTAGGATTGATTCCTATCCCTGGAAACTGTACATAGCTCTCAGTAATTTCTGTTGTGTAGCAGGTAGGGAAGTAGGTTCTTCCCCATGCCTAGTCCATGAACTGTTCAAACAGTTGTTTCAGTGGGAATGGACAACCTACAGTCCTCTGTTAGCCCAATGACTTGCTCTCAGAATAATGAGTATAGATCCTAACACTATCAAAGATTTAGGTTATGGTAATATCCCATTTGAACCAAATTCAGTGACTATGGCAGTGGGCTCAAAGTCTAGCCCACTCCACTGGATCCTGACTGAAGGCTCTGATTGCACAGACACCACCACCCACAACACACAACTTCCTGGACTGCTTCCTACCACAGTTCTTGGGCAGCTCAGGATTCTGTTCCTCACACTCAGGGCTACAGATCAGGCACATCTACATGTGCTTTTAAAAGCGAAGCAATAAGCTCCAGCACAATTGCTCCCCAGAGCCACATTTACACATGCACCCAGGAACCACAGCATGCTGAGCTGGGTTAGAGCAGCCCTGGCTGGCAAGGGGTGGGCAGGATCAGCCTGCCAGCCATGGTCTGACCCAGCTCAGCAGAAAAGCTAGCTGAGGCACAAGGGTGTTCCAGTGTGGGACTAGCAAGCAGGCAGCCCCCACACTGAAGCATCCTTGTGTCCCAGCCAGCTGTGTCAGCATCTACATGTGCACTGCTGCAAAGTAACAATCTCTGCAGCAGAGTAGTACTTTTAAATACAAGTACTTAAAAATACTACCCTCAATACAAGTACAGGAGACCCTTGCCATTCATGGGGGATACATTCCAGAGATCCCCGTGAATAGCGAAATCTGTGAATACTGACGGGGCTCCCCCCCAGGCCCCATAGCCACCCCCTGCTCTCCTGCAGTGCCTGGGGACTGACCCGTCCCCTCCCCTGAGCACTGCCGCAACTGCCTCTGGGGGAGAAGATGCCGCCGCCACCTCCCTCCATGTCCCTGGCACTTGCTCTCTGCCTGCCTTCCGGCTCTGCCCTCCCCCTGCGAATATTTGAATCCGCAAACCCAGAGTTCGTGAATAGCAAGGGTTTTCTGTATTTACAAGTACTACCCTGCTATGGAGTGAATTAGTTTCCTGAGGCCTAATAGGGCTACACATGTAGACATGAGACTTTTACTCCATGGTAAACAACTCATATAGATGCAGCCACTGAGGAGAAAAAGTACCAACCCATCTGAACCGTCCTTACAGCCTCTCACCTGAATCAGTCATGTCACTGGGAGCTATGCAGCAACACTCTCCATGTCCCAGAGCAGTGGTGGCCAACCTTTTTCACTGGTGACAAATTAAACCCCACACTCTCCCTGAACTCCACAGCTATCTGTTGCTCTGCTTTATGCTCCCTACCTGACTGCCACACCCAGGGGCTGCCTGTGTTATATGTAGCATGCAGGTTGCCCATCATGCCACTAGAGTTTCTGCCTCCTCAATAATTTTGGCTGGATTAACATCCTTCCCAGGTTCACTGCTATTATAGACCCAAAAAGGGGGCAGAAGTCGGGCCACAAAATGTTAAACCCCCTCCACCAAGGATACAGTAGTTCTCTACATTCTCCAAATGGGATTCAGCAATCCCCTTTCACAACTGGTATCTGATGGGAGTATAACTGGCACTGGGTGGAGAGGAAGGGAGTGGGATGAAGTTACTTGTACCTAAAGGTGAATGGGGGCTGATATTTGCCAGAGGGTTTGCTCTTAACACATACCAGGCAGGGAAGCAGGAGTGAGTGGTGTTGTGCGACATTTTCTAGTTTTGGGGTGTCATTTAGGTAAATTACTGTTGTTTGTTATTTCTTGTAAACCACTCTGAGCCTTTCTGGATAGAGCACAATATAAATCTACACAACATGTGTAGTAGGGCAGGGGGGACACACTGAAAGTCTCACTGATCTCATTTTAGCTATATTTATTTTTCTACCAGACAAACAGGAAAAAAAAGGGAGGGGGAGGGAGAGTTCCCAAACTCCCATGAAAAAAGAACCTTTCAGTTTGCTTTGTTTTACCTGATACATCTAGCAGCACGCCGCCTGCTTCAGTAATAATGATTCCAGCTCCTGCCATGTCCCAGCAATGTATGCCCATCTCATAATATGCATCAGCTCCACCAGTTGCCACAAGGCACATGTTTACAGCTGCTGTACCAACAGCTCTAATCCTAAGAGACAAACACACTATTAAAGTGAGAGTACTTTACAGAAATACTAGAATATTAACAATTTACCCACTGGGTGGACAAGGTGTGCAGTTAGAACAGCAAACTAGTGCTACTGTGAAGGAATGCTGCAGTGAGAAATAAGCCAATATGCATCTGTGTTTACTTCTGTTTTAACTGTGAACAAATCTATAAGTATGCGTCACCCAATTTCAGCTAACTTAGTTAAAAAGACATAATTAAAAATACTGAACGTGGATAAAAAATCATTTTCATAAATTGTATTAATGAAATCAAATTTTTCTTTTTATGGTGAAGATGTGAAGTGAGTTACAATAACTGAAGATAAACATTGATAAAAATATCCAGCTTAGAAAAAAAAAGTAGTCTCCTTCATTTCTTGGGTGCTAGTCTGCATGCAATATGCATTATTTGCCTTGTAAGAGATTTTAACTCTCTTTTTAATTTAACACTGGATGCAGCTTTGACATCTGCAAAAAATCTAAATGTAATGCTCAATTAAAAAATACTCCTTAGTTCAGCAAAACTATTACAGACCTTTGTTCAGACTTACAAAAGTTATATTAAATCACAAGACAGCCAACTTTAAATCACATTTTCCCATTTAAAAATATGGTAAAATGGAATTAAGTTAACTTATTTTCCTTCCTAAAATCATGTTTGGTGCTAAGTAGAACACTAAAAAAATAAGAGCATCTTACCCATGAACAGGAATACCGAGCAGCTTTTCCATGTTAGACAGAACAGTTTTTAAAACCTCTGGATCACGGTTTGATCCCAGTTCTGTTACTAAAAGGGATTTTGTAATATCTGAAAAAAGACAAACTGACTTTTTTCAACAGTTTTACATAAAGACAATAAAAAGGCATTCATAGTTATTGTAACCATTTATCTGGCATGTTGTCCTGCGTACCATGTAAATTTGGAGCAATACATTTTCTTAATGTGGATATTACAGGAAGAACACGGCAAAAAAAAAAAAAGACACTGTCCAGCTTCATTCTGCGTATACATTCACTGGGGAGAGTTATATGATAAAACACAATTCTATAAGCATTAACATATTTTCAAATCTTGAAGCCCACAGTCCAGCACAGTTAAACATGAATTATCTTTGTTCAGGTTAATAAGCAAGTAAACAGTGAGATACTACTACTACTACTAAAAAGTATTCAAGTCCACAGTTTAAATACTTTGCCAGTTAAGCTGTAATACAGTTAGTTTTTTGAGAGATTTGTTACTGTTTCTGAACATTACAGTTTCAAATAGGCAGGAAATAAATTCCCCAAATGGCTGAATCTTATTTTTTATTTTTCAACTCTAAAGAAAACCCAGAACACAACCCCTTACCTCAGTGGGCATTTTCCTAAGATAAAACCAAATCTTTATTTGTTAAAAATCATACTATCAGTAAAATATTCACCTTTTCCAAAATTTAATTTAAAAAAAATCTGTCAGTAACTAAAATGTAAGCTACCATTCTTGTCACTCCTGTCTGACAGAGAATCTGCTCAGTACAACTTACCTTCTTGACCTGATACTTGAAGCTTCTGGCCATTGCAAAATGCACCTTTTCCTTTCCTGCCAGTGTACATTTTGTCTTCTACACAACTGTATACAATTCCAAATTCCATCTGAAAGCAGAAAGAATGAGTCTTTTTCTCTTTTTAGCTGATGTGGAAATACAGATCTTGTATAAAGATGTTATGAATTAGATTATCTCTGTTGGACGTTAAGTAATAAAGAGATAAATTTACCTTTTTGTTTACACTGAAGCCAATTGAAACAGCCACAAATGGAAACCTTAAAAAAAGCATTTTACTAATTATAGTTCATTATTACTATATGTATTTACAATTTCTGTTAAATGCAGATGGAGTATAAATAAAGATGGGCAAAAACATACAAACCAGAACAGGATGCTCCCAGAATTTCTCTCCTGGGACCCAAGTATACTCAATGTCAATTATAACTGCGGATAGCTTATAGTTCAAAAGGAAGGATGGAGTACTGTTAGGTTAATAGGCTCAGGCAAATGGGTGCTTTAGTTTAATTCTATACAAAAGAGGTTATAAATTACTGGTCTCTCAAGTCTTGCCAATCGCTGCTTTCATTCTGTAATCATTATACCTGAAAGAATAATACTGTGTAGAAATATGCTATTCTAGTTAAATTCAACTAGTCAGAGAGTCACTAGACTTGACTAGTTATATAATACTGTTTCTAGTCATGTACAAGGAAGATATCCAAGATGGATTCATTGAATGCATCTATTGCAAAAGAGATTTAAAACTGTAACTTTGCTTATTCCAGGGTCAGAAGAGGAAGTCTAGTTTGTTTACCAGTTTAGACAGTAACTAGAAATAAATTTTAAAAAATGGACCTGTGTACAAAATTAGTAGTTCCATCAATAGGGTCAATGATCCATGTAGGATTATCTGTCAAGGTGCTGCCTTCTCCTGCTGCGACAGATTCTTCCCCAATGAAACTACAAGACAAAATACAGAAAAGACATAAACAAACTATGAAGACAAATAAATTTAGCATAGCACTTTGAACACAGTTATTTTTGAGGCAACTGACCTCTACCATTCTTAAAAGAAAGCCAGATGCAATGCCATAATTTTCAGATTATTGGTAGAAGAATTAAGCAGCAATTTTTGACGTGAAATTAAAGTGAAAATAAATAAATTGCAACTGGCATCTAAAGGAAGCTAATGATGACATCTGTGATCACATAAAATGTGTCTATTCTTTATTATTAGTTCAAAGCCGGAATTTTTTAGACATTAGATTTTCTCATTGAAACAGTCTTTTTCAAATAACTAGTGTCATACATAAGCAGTTTGAATAAAAGGGCACAATACTACTTGTACTTAAATCTATTTTAAGTAAGTTTCAGTTTATTCTGCTGTCAAGTGCTTTTTGATTTTTACTTTTCTGAACTGCAGGATAGAATGGACAAACCAGGTAGAATTTTCTTATTACCAGTCTATAGGATGTAGTTATTTTATATATAACCTTTTATCAGTGTGTAGAAATAAAACACATCTTTTCTACATAGACAGGCAGACTGCTACTATTAGTGAAAGAAAGAAAGAAAGAAACAAACAAACAAACAAAAAAACCCAGAAAAACCCCAAAGCCTTACCCAATACCAAATGAACAAAAACCAAATCAGGTACGAGATCCTGAGACTACTACACACAGATTTTTAAACAGTAAAATAAAACCATCTCATTAAGCATTTGCTTATTTCAACATTTTAAACAGATTTAGATCAATAGGCAACTTAATTGCTAATACATCAGGGCTATATTATCTAGATTATCAAATTTAAAAGAATGAGTTAATGATTATAAGGATGAATAGAAAATTTTATCAAACTTATATGAAAACTAATAAACATAAGCAATAAACCAAACTGGGGTACTTGGGAGCTGAGTTAGGCAAAATATACTATTTCTTGGGATGGAAATTTTATATCTTTCTGAAGAAGTCAGAAGATTGATAGATAAAGGATCTGTAGAGATCATCCATCATACAAGATCGGAAGGACTCACCCTATTCCAGAACTATACCACATTTGTAAACTGAAAGTGAATTACAGTTAGAAAATCAGAAAAATTTGAATAAAATTTGCACGAAGTACACTTTAGATATTCACCATACTGAAGTTCAAGTTATCCTGTAACCTCCTGGCAGCCTCAGAGCTGAACTTCACTGAATACACATCAGATTCCATATTCTATTCCAGGGGTAGGCAACGTTTTTTGGCTGGAGTGCCGAAAAATACACAATGCCTACCTTGGAAGGTGCCGGAGTGCCGGCATGCCAGAAAAACAAAATGAAGGGAGGGGGTACAGGATGCCCTGCTCGTGCCCCCTGCCCCTCAGCTCTGCTCGTACCCCTGCTGCCCCTGCCCCTCAGGCCTGCTGCCCCTTGCCCCCCAGCCCAGGCTCCGTGGCTATCAGCAGCTACCCAGAACCTGGACCAGCTGCAGCCAGGAGGCTGCAAACAGCTGCTGCCTCCCAGACCCAGCCTCCAGGGAAGGAGCAGATACCTCAGGCTCCAGGGAGACAGCAGATACCAGCGATGCTCCCCACTGTACAGCCCTCACACACGCTGCACTCCCGGCCCTGCTGCCCTCCCAAGCGCAGCGTGTGCAACCCAGTGTGGCAGAGTACAGAAGGACCGCACAGGGAAGCTGTTTGCACAAAGGGCCCCGTCCCCATCCTGATGCTGCTGACAGCCCAGGCCCAGCAGCAGCACTGGGCTGGGGCTGGCAGTGGTCCTGGCTGGAGCCAAGCTCACCGGCAGCACGTGGCTGGGGCTGGGGCCCTCTGCAGCACCAAGATGGGCCCTGGCACTGGGCTCATCCCAATGCTGCAGACAGCTGTGGTGCTGGGCTGGGGCAGGAGGTGGAAGTGCCGGGCAGGGCCTGGCCCGGCAGCAGCACATGGCTGGGGCTGAGACCGCCAGCAGCGCCAGGATGGGGCCCCAGCCTCCTCCCGGTGGTGCCGATCACCCTGGCCCAGCAGCGGTGGCGGAGGTGCCGACCAGGGCCAGGCCCACCAGTAGCACCGAGATGGGCCCGGGCCCCAACCTTATCCTGGCACTGCAGATGGCCCTGGCTCAACAGCGGCGCTGGGCTGAGGCAGGTGGTGGAGGTGCTGGGCAGGGCCCAGCCCGGTGGCAGCATGTGGCTGGGGCTGGGCCTGCCGGCAGTGCCAGGATGGGACCCTGGCTTCATCCTGGCACTGCCGATCACCCCAGCCCAGCAGTGGTGGTGGAGGTGCCGGCCAGGGCTGGGCCCGCCAGCAGCGCATAGCCAGAGCTGTCGGCAGCGCCGAGATGGGCCCAGGACCCAACCTCATCCTGGCACTGCTGACGGCCCCAGCCTAGCAGCGGCACTGGGCTGGGGCAGGAAGAGGCAGTGAAGGTGCCGGCTGGGGCCGGGCCCGCTGGCTGCACGTGGCTGAGCCTGCCGGCAGCACCAGGATGGGGCCGGGGCCTGCACAGGTCCACAGGCCTGGGCCCCGGCCTCATCCCAGTGCTGCCAACAGCCCTGGCCCAGTGGTGGCAGTTTTTCCAGCCGGCCCTGCCAACAGCACATAGCTGGGGCTGTCTGTAGAACTGGGATGAGGCCAGGTCCTGTGCAGGTCTGTGGCCCCAGCCACATCCCAACGCTGCTGACGACCCCGTACCGACTGGGCCCGGGGCCCGTGGCAGCAGTGGTGCCGGCTGGGGCCTGCCGGCAGCACGTGGCCAGCAGCACAGGGTTGGGACTGGGGCCAGGGGCTCTAACCTGGCTGGGGTTGGTGGTGTTCCAGGGCTGGGGTCCAGCAGTGGCAAGGGTCATCAGCAGCACAAGGCTGTTCCCAGGCAGCCGTGTGCTGCTCAATCTGGGCATGCCTCTTCCCGCCCCTTGGGGCGAGAAGCAGCCTGCATGCCAATAAAAACCATGCCGTATGCCATGTTGGGCACACATGCCATAGGTTGCCGACCCCTGTTCTATTCCTTTGGTCACTACTTTCGAACAGAGCATTTTTAATACCAACAGAAGTTATACCTGTGAGAAGGATATTTTTCTTTTACTGCAGAAATAATCATTTGTTCCACTTTTTGATCTGTAACAGTTACCAGATCTGCTGGGGAGCTTTTAGTCATAATAGATATTTCTTTTTTCAGTGCTTCACGGACAACCTGAAAAGAAAATTATTTTTTAAAATAAAACTGGAACACACTAGATATTCTATTTACACACAAAAACTCAAAACAATGATGCTCTCTTCAATTTATTACAATTTGTCTTGTATGCAAAGACACAAACAAAATCAGTGACAAATCCTGAATTAGAAAACATGAACTTAGGGCTCTCCACCCTCCAATCTACACCATAATCCTGGTAAACTTACATATGTAGTTTAGGTGCTTCACAAAAAGTCCCATTTGAGAATGAAACCTTGCGCACCTCTATTTCGTTAGAATTTTTCAAAATTGACACTCTAATAATAGTGTAGTAATTTACAATAATACTACAATGCTGAATAAAAATGCTTAAATCTGTATTCCAGGGCAGACAATGTATATCTGACTGCAGCCAATGCAAGACGAGCAGGAATAAGAATTTATGCCTCTGGACCAAAAAAAACACATCTAAGGGCCCTGAGCAGAAACGAGACAATTAAAAAAAAAAAAAAGTTTAATGAAATGATTGAAGCAACTTAATGAAATTCTGAAAACTGCATGGCTCTTTGGGTTACAGCTGATATACTGTAAGACTAAAGGTAGTAAGCAAAGATCTGGCCATCGTTATAACTAGAGATCTGGCTCTTTTTTTAGTCTACTGTAACGTCAGACTACAGTCATCTACACTAATGTTTCCAAACTGAGACCTGGAACACACTTTTTTCCTGAATTAAAACCGGTGGAAAATTTCACTCTTACACCCAAAAAGTTGTGTGCACCACACAGTTTTTTCCCCCAAAACATGTAACATTTCATTCCCAGGCTAGACCAGTGCTGAGGAGTACTGCTGAAAAAATAACTCCATTATTTTTCTGAATTTGCTTCACCCAGCTGAAAATCACTAACAAATTCAAATTCAGGTAAGATATGGAGGGGGGCCTTGAGAGTAAATAAATTGAGAATTACTGATCCAGCTGGTGCCACTTAAGGTTGGTGGGAGAAGGATCTAACACTGCTACAACCTGTTCTTTCCACTGTCTGTCCCCTGGTCTGTATTTCAGAGGGCAAGGGCAGCCCCTGCTACTAAGGCTGCTCATGCAGGGTCTCACATGCTGGCAATGACACCTATGGCCTTTTCTGCTATCCCCAGAAGCAGAGGAGGAGTGGAGGGGACCAGCCAGGCTTCAAAGCACAGCTCCATCTCTGGGTCCTCCCACCTGCCCATTCACAGAAGAGCGTGCTACTGGAAGCATGGTGGTGGCCAACACAGGGGCTGCCTCAGGCTGTGGAAGGGCAGGGAAGGCAGCTGCAACAGCAGTACCTAGAGGAGCAATTGCAGGCACAGCTGAAGTAACTGGGGCAGGACCAGGGTGCCAGATGGGAGAAGAGAGCATTTACCTTTACACATGCGGGGATCCCATAGCATACTTCCTCTCTGCACTAATGTGCCATAGCACAACCTTTGGGAACCACTGATCTACACTAAGGGAGAGAAACTTGATAAGGAGGGATGGATAGAGACTTATACAACTTGTTTACACAGGGCAAAGAGGAGAGATAAGAGGCTGTGAAAGGACTTCTGGAAAGACTGTCAGCCTTTAGGCAGAAGATCAAAGTGCTGCAAGAGAAAGGTGAGAGATACTGCTTTCCTCCTTTAAAGTGCTCTTGTTGCAAGCCAGAGACAAAATACAAATCGTGGCTAGACAATGACCCAAAAAGTCACATATTTTTTCTTCTAAATTATCCCAGCTGAGAAACTGGAGAGAGAATTTTGAACTCAACACTTCACTCTGCCATGAAAGATGCATAACAATTCATATTTTTGACAAAATACAGGTAGAACATTTGGCCAGGCTTAAAAGCAAAATTTCTCTAAAAAGCCTATCTGAGTTTTCAAGAAATATTATGTAACATATATAGAGTCTCTTACCTCTCCAGCTTTTCTTGCTAAAGTGACTGCATAATCCATGCATTCTTGCCAAGGATCAGCCATCTTCTTTTAGATAAAGAGCCTATTTAGTAGATATATAAATATAAAAGCTTATTTAGAAAGTTTTGCACGTCCTCAAATCGTTGACTAATGGACTACTGTTCTCCTTATTTTTAATTACGGCGTTCCATATCTGCTGGCATTTACATATACTAACAGTGAAAAGTTATCCTGTCTCCATCATGGATGAACTCCTGGAAAACAGTCTAAAGATGTGCCTTGCCTATAGAATTGCTTACTATATCTGTGGTAAAAGCACACTAAAATAGTGCTAAAGCATTAATCGACATAGGTCCTGTGTCTTACAAAAAGCATACTAAGTGCTTAACTTTATGCATTGAGAAGAGTCTGATTGTAGTCACTGACCTCAGGGTGATCACTTCGGAGTCTGCAAATTTAAATACACGCACACATTTTTGTAGGATCAATGCCAAACCATTGTCATGGAGACCACATCTTTAAAGACACTGTACAACTCTGAGGCTGCCAGTTAAAGATTAGGATCTTCACTATAATTTGCTTTGGATGGAAGCTTGCCAGACAATTTAGGATATTTTTAAATCAAGTGTGGTTTTAAACTACTTTAGACATTTTAAAATTAGAGGCTAGTGAAACTAGGACCGGCTCTGATGCAGTAATTTATTCCACACGCACAGGTTTTCCACAACTAAATAAGTTGCTCTGGATAAATAAACAACAAAAAGTTACTATCACTTCAGAACATACATGATTTACTTCAGTCTCAAGATACTTCCCTCCCTGTAAGTATATATTACTTAGCACTCACTGTATTAGGTATATCTCTGCATGCACTAGCATTGCTGTACTATGTATTTTTGGATAAACAGTGTTTTTTTACTATGGCTGGTTTATGACATCCTAAAATATGTGAATGAAAGGATCCTTGTGTATTCCTGAAGGAAACTTTTTTTTTGTGCAAGTGGCTAAAGAAAATGGCAGTGCTGATCATTCAAAGGCCCTGTGGATCAGGGTGCTCAACTTCCAGCCGGGAGGCCAAACACAGACCATGACCATGCTGCATCTGGCTCCCAGGGCTCCCCACAGGTCAGGAAATTTGGTTGGCAGGGGAGCAGTGGCCAGATACAGTCAACTTCCCCACTGCCAAATTCCCAAACGTCAAGTCCTGAATGCCCAGTTAGAGCCAGGTCATGTTTCCTTCCCCCTGCGCTGCCAGGTCTTGCCCTCTTTTCCACCCATGGGGCTGGTTTGGATCCAGACCACTCCCCCTCCCCTTGCCGGGCTGAGCCGTCCCCCTTTCAAGCTCCCCCGCCCCCACATGCAGGGCTGCCCTTCCCCCTCCTGGTAGCTGGATGATGCCCACCGTGCGGGCCCCATGCACAGGGCTGCAGCCACCCTCTGGTCTGCGGTATGAACAGGCGCTGCTCGTTAGGTCTCATTAGTGGGGGGAGGGGGGTTGCACCCGGCCGTGTCCCCTGCACCAGAGACGGCGCCAGACGGATTCTGTCCAGAAAGAGGAGGATCAGACAACCCCGCCGGGCTGCGAGGCGCCGCAACACACGGACACAGCCCCGTTACCCCATGACCTCCTCCCGCCCGGATACGGATGACGGCGAAGGCTGGCCGGCCCCCCGGGAGTGTGCGGGGGAGGGGGCAACCCGCACGCAGCATCCTCGGGGCCAGTGCGCAGGCATAAATCGGTAACCCCAACTCCTACCCGCAGTGCCGGCCGCACCTGCTGGCTTCTTCTGTCTCCCGCTCGAGCACCCGCGGGCACGCATGCGCCGCAGCCGTCAGCACCCCCTACAGAGCACCGGCGGGGGCGGGAGATGTCCTTCATGGCGGATGGCAGGGGCGGTGCGTAGCTGTTACGTACACGTGACGTAATATTGTTGCAAGGTTACGCTGCTCTCTCCTGCCCTAGGACACTGGTGGCCATGAGCTAGCGCGTGCGGTCGTCTCCCCGCCAGCTGGGGCTGAGCCGGGACCGGGCGGACCGACGGGCGGCTTCCGCCTCTTCGCAGCCCTGGGGAAGGTTTCCTTCATCTGCCTGCTCCACCCCGGGGACGTTGGTTTTTGGGTTGCTGCGAGCCTGGAAACCTCCGTCCGGGTTGCTGCCCGGGGACCTGCAGCGCCGCTCTGGGTCTGCTGGCTGCACGTGTCCCTTGGGAGCATGAGCTGGAGAAGAGGGCACCGCAGCATAGAGCCGCAGGGCAATAGGTTAGTCTGGTGGCTCCCACCCTTTTTTGGACCAGAACCCACTTGCAAACACTAGCGGCCAATCCCGACCCAGTGCCCCGCAGTCCTGGCCTGCTGCCCCCTGCCCCCGCCCCCGGTGTTTTGGCCGGGGGGTGGTGCCTAAGAAGCCCCTCGCAGAGTCAAGGGAAAAGCTATGGCTTCTCAGTTTTTCTCCTTTAAAATCAGGCAAAAAGAAGTTTCTCACATTTTTCTCCTTCAAAGGAGAATCCATGTTTAAAGTTTGTGGATCCATTTTTAGTTTATTCATGAGGCTTTCATATATTCTTGCAACCCACTTTTGGATCGTGACCCACAGAGTGAGAAACGCTGATGTAGGCGTTAACTGTTGCATCTCATGCAAAACTAAGGAAGTGATACTCCCACTGTTCTCCACACTGGTGAGACTGCAGCCAGAGGACTGCGTCCAGTTCTGGGTGCCAGTCTTCAACAAGGATGTGGAAAAAACTTGAAAGCGTCCAGAGAAGAGTCACCCATGTGATCAGGGACTTGCAAGACCAGCCATAGGAGGAGAGGCTGAGGGACTTTGGCTTCTTCAGCCTACAGAAGAGAAGGCTGAGAGGGGACTTGGTAGCAGCTTACCGCTACATCGGGGAGCACATCAAGAACTCAGTAAACAGCTGTTTCATAGTTTCATAGATTTAGGGTCGGAAGGGACCTAGTAGATCTTCTAGCCCGACCCCCCACCAGGGCGGGAGAACAACAAAACCCCAAAACAAAAACAGGACTCAAATGAGTCCAGCCAGGTAGGCATCCAGCCTCTTCTTAAAGACCCCCAGGGTAGGGGCCAGCACCACTTCCCTTGGAAGTTGGTTCCAGCTCCTAGCCGCCCTAACTGTGAAGTAGTTTTTGCGGATGTCCAATCTATACCTCCTCTCCATCAACTTGTGCCCATTACTCCTTGTTATGCCAGCGGGCGCTAGGGGAAACAGCGTCTCCCCCAAACCCTTCTGGTCCCCCCTAGTGAGTCTATAGACGGTCACCAGGTCCCCCCTCAGCCTTCTCTTGTGGAGGCTGAATAGGTTCAGGTCCGGCAGTCTCTCACTGTAGGGTCTGCCCTGTTCACCAGGGCACCCCTGGGGAAGACCAGGAGCAATGGATAAAGACTCCTGGAAGGCTGCTTCAGGCTCAGTTCCAGGAAAAAACTTTCAGTTAGGGGGTCCAGACTGGAATAAACTCCCTCCAGTGGTGGTGCAATCACCTACCCTAGAAATATTCAAAAAGACTGTACAGTCACCTCACTGGGGTCTCTTGATCCCAGTTGTCTTTTACTGCCTGGTGCAGGGGGACTAGACCTGATGATCTACAAGGTCCCTTCCAGCCCCTAACAATCTATGGATTTAGTCCAAGCTCCTGTTTAAGGCAGGAAAGGTCTTGTGCCCCCTATAGGTATCAAACCTGTCACTTTGGCCTTATTCAGCTAGTAAAGATGTCCAAGAAGTGCAAGTTTGTGGCTGATGGCATTTTCAAAGTGGAGCTGAGCCAGTTTCTGATTCGTGAACTGGCCACAGATGAGGTCAGAGTAAATCCACCCAGGACTGAAATGATCATCCTGGCTACCAGAACTCACAAGATTCTGGATGAAAAAGACCGCTGTGCCAGTGAGGTTTTGCTTCCCGGCAGGAAGTGTTGAGCTCCATGCTGAGGTGGCCAGAAGAGATCTGTGTGCTGTTGCCCAAGCAGTTGCCGTGTTACAAACTTCTGGGAGGCTTAGCAGTGCGCAGAGCCTGCTGTGCTGTCCGCTTCATCATAGAGAGTAGTGCTGAGGGTTGTGAGGTAGTTGTCTGGCAAACTCGGGGGCCAGTGAGCCAAGTTCGTGAAGTTTGTGAAGACCCTGTAAACCACTGTCAATACAACCATGCACCACATCCTTCTCAGGCAGGGTGCATTGGGTATTAAATTAAGATCATGCTGCCTTGGGACCCAAATGGGAAGATTGGCCCCAAAAAGCCCCTGCCAGACCACACTGGCATTGTGAAATGCAAAGAAGAGATCTCGCCCACCACATCCATCTCAGAGCATAGATTCATAGATTAAGGGTCAGAAGGGACCTAGTAGATATTCTAGCCCGACCCCCCGCCAGGGCGGGAGAACAACAAAAAACCCCAAAAAGAGAAACGGGACTCAAATGAGTCCAGCCAGGTAGGCATCCAGCCTCTTCTTAAAGACCCCCAGGGTAGGGGCCAGCACCACTTCCCTTGGAAGTTGGTTCCAGCTCCTAGCCGCCCTAAC